CCATCAGTGCTTTTTACGAAAGGTTTACAAACGCAGTGATTTTTGCAACAGATTACTGATTTGGTGGTTTTCTGCAAACCTATCCGTAAATGTAGTAGTTTTCTGCAATTAACTCGGCGGTAGTAGAATGGACGACTATGATGGTGAGCGGCCCAACTGTAAGGTAAGGAGAGCCACGACTGTCGTCACGGCCGCAGAGGGAACCACATGAGCGCCTACGACGGCGGTGCAGATGACAAACCGGTGCAAGCCCACCACAACGTTGCACGGAAACTAGACCAAGCCGACGCGGGTGGCCGCGGTGGTTACGCCGCCTACATCCAAGGCAAAGCCCATGAGACGTGGAAGGCAAAACAAAGCCAGCGACGACGCTGGCTACACCTAGACCCCGCGCTTCCGCAAAGCTTATGCTGATACTAGGATGCACGCGGCTATGGATTACCACCACCATCCAACCACTACTACCACTCTCGCAAGGTACTGCTAGTCGTTAGAACTAGTTAGCGTGGCTGTTCATCAATCCCTCCCCCGCCCAAAACAATGCCTCTGCCTCTCGTTCTTTTCTGCCCGCCGGTTGTTCTGTTTTTCCTTCATCTTTGGGTGCGGTAACTGTTTTCTTCTTGTATCACACAATAAAGTGAAAGAAAGCATTCTGAAATCACACCTGAGTCCCCGTCTTTGCTCATCCTGTTAAGTTGATGTCTGTGGCTTCATTTTCCTTTTTTCAGTCACACTTAATGTTCCCTGTTCAAGGCTTGAAGTTGGTGATGTTGCTGAGTACTCAATAATTTTAGTTATTCACATCTCACGATGTGCTTTCATTTCTTTTGCTAACAAGTGGCACATATATGCTTCTCACGTCATATCTGTTGTTTTTCCTGGAGGTTAATGATGTCATCTCCGCACTGGAGGTTCAAAATTAAAAAAAAAAAGAGGAATTGTCTGAATGAATCACGATGTTGAGTAAAAAAATGGTAAGGCAAGTCACAGCCTTCCCTGGAAAGCATTTTTAAATGAACAAACTATGGTCACCGATGTTTTCGGTCTTACGCTATCAGGTCACGAGTCATTACCAAATCTTGTGGATTGATAAATTGTTCGGAAATCTTGTGGATCGATAGATTGTGCTCATGTCTGAAGCCGTTACCAAATTTTAGTTATTCCACTGGAAAACACTGTATGAGCAAACAATAAATGCAGCCTATCATTAGTTGAGTTTGCTGGGTTTGACAGAACAAGCCAAAATCATCCCGAGTGAGTTCTAAGAAACACTAGGCAGCGGTCTATCCATTCTCCTGCATAGAATATAGAAAAGAAATCTCCAATAATAAGTCAAACTAATAGATCTCCCAAAGAAAATGGTCATATTATCATAGGATTTCTAATCAGAATCTTGTACGAAGAAACTAACAAGGAGCTTGGAGATAGTTTTCATATCCACTATTGAGCTTCTTGCAAAGACAGAAAACATATACAATGTTAAAAATGTAGGCCTTTTGTCATCTGTGGTCGCAAAAGTACGGATGTATGACTGAACTTCTTATTGTTAACTACAATGTCATATATAAAACATAGGTGCACCAGCAGGATAATGGACACCCATACCCTACAAGCGGTTCCATAAATTTTATAGTTAGACCGTTGTAAAATAGAAAAACCTTTTAACATGTGTCCGTATTTTGAGATATTTAATTAGCTGATATACGTATCCATAAAGTGTGCATTATATTGGGCACAAAAATACCTTGTCAGAATAACTGCAAAAGTTTGTGTAGTTAATTAATGGAAGAAGTGCTCGAAAAACACTGCACTATTTTTAAGTAAGGGACAACTTCTCTTTTGTAGAATATTACGTCAAACATTTCTAGTGTGGCCAGGGCGATTGCTACTCAAAATTTGATCCTATTCCTTCTGCATGATATATACAAAAAAATCCCCATCATGGAAAATCCAATTGTTCCATCTCCGCAGGAGGTGATCTTATTTACATAGCATTACCGATCAAGATCTTGAGCGAGTAAACCTGAAATTAACTACTTGATACTACATAATCTATAAAAAGTGGCATCGGTCTCCAATAATTCAAACTTTCGGTGGACAAGCACCTTCACAGATTGAGGTCTAATTAACTTTTCGGTCAATATCCATCTCCATCCTTGTTGTCGCCCAGCAATTTATCCAATTCCGGTTCCCTACCAAGAGGAGGAAGAGCATTATATTCCACCAGGCTTGTAGGAGAATAAAGGCAGTGGCATATGGAAAGCAGCAGCAACGGACAGGTTATTATCGATTTGTTTTTTTCATATATACCTAGTAGTGAACTTATATACGCACACATGCAAAATATTGTGCTTTCTTTTCTATTTCCTGGTAAGTGTCTAATATGTTTTATTTATTTTCTTGCAGTTTGGTGACGTCATTTCCCAACTAAACATTAAGATGGGTTAATTAATTAAAGTGTTAAGTAAAATTTGGAGGGATGAACTGAGTTAATTAAAGTGTTAAGTAAACTAAAAGTTGTGACCAGATCAACAAAGAGCATGATCTCAAAGACTTTGACACTCGTCGTAATCCAAGTCAATGCCTCAATGGTCTTGCATGAAAAAGCATGTTCAAATTAATGAACAAAGTGGAGACGCATAATATTTTTTTTTGTGACCCAGTCCAATGAAGTGATTGATTATTCTGAGAACCAAAATATTCCCCTGAAGAACACAACGAGGCATGAACGAGAGCAATGAAGACCCAGCAGATGGGCCGTGCAAGTTTGGTAGTACCATCTTCAGGATCTGCACTGTGCTTGGCTTGCCATGGAAATTCCGCCATACAAATCTATATTCAACAGTGAACCTTGTTAGTCTGCCTGCCTGATAACTGTTTGGCAGGATGACAACAATTGCCACGACTAAATTCTGCTTGTCTTGAATACTTGTGGTCCGGCAAAGGAATGGGTATCATGAACATATGGAGGAAGCATCGGCAACGGTCACGTTAGGACTTAGGACCAACGCTAACACATGGCTGAGATTTTCTTGCGGCCATTCTGATAACTTGCTTACGATGACATGACCTAACAAACGACCAACATTAGGACCAAATTCTACCAAATTCTTTCTGCCTTGATAAAGTCGTGTTCCAAGATCAATGGACCACGTTACGGAGAGAGAGCATGGATAGCAGTCGGTCTTGCCGTCCATGAGGCAACAAGTCTAGGACGGAACCCCAACAAGACCGATGCCGCGCGAACCCTTTGAACAGTACCTCACTGCCTGTGGCATCTTTGCCTGCCCCCGGAATTGGTCGTCGATGCTGCCACGGCGCGGCACCGCCCACCATGATCCGCCACTCCATCGGCCTAGCGCTCGGCTCCCTCCGATTCCCCGATTCCAATAGACAGCTGACTGGGGGAGCAGGACGCCGACACAATAACACCACCACCATTGTGCTCAAGTCGAAACGGATACCCCAAGACGCGCCGTGGGTTCGCCCGGTGAAGAGAAGACGCGCTTCAGGAATCACAATGGTGGCGAGTGAGAAGTGTGAACCCGCACTACACTTTCCCTTGCCTTCCAACACACGTCGCGTCCAGCTCGATCTCATCCTCTCCGCACACGGAGCATATATAACCGTAGCACCACCACCACCACTAGTCCAGTAATCTAGCCAGTTAGAGCATCTCCAACAGCCGCGTCAAAAGACGCGCGCGCGGGGTAAAATGCCCATTTAATGCACGCGGGAAATTTTCACGCGCTCCGGTGGAGGCGGGAAACAAGCACGCGCGGTAAATGTTTGCGCGCGCGTGGGAGAAAGCTGTCGGTCGCGCGGTAGATTTGGCGCACAGCTTCCGGCGCGCCTATAAATTGCGGCCCTCGTCACGCGCTGCTCCACACTACCATGCACACATTTCCCACACCTGCTCGTGGCTTCCACTGCTTCCTCGCCGCTTCCTCTGCTTCTTCGCCGCTTCAGTGCCCCGCCACCACCGCGCCACTATGTTGCGGTGCCGCCGGGGATTATCGGGCTACCGCGGCATCCGCCTGCGCTCCTCCGGCGCCTGCTGCGCCGACATCCGGTCCGGCGATGTCCACCTCGACCTCGGCACGTTCGAAACCGCGCACGAGGCCGCCCGCGCGTATGACATGGCGGCGGCGTGGCGCCTAGGAAGGCCTCGCGCGCAGATGAACTTCCACAACGTCTACTCGCACAAGCAGGCGCAACGCGTCGCTCCTCCGCCTCGTCTGATAACAGAACAGGACCGTGAGGACCACCGTCGGCTGCAGTGCCTCCTTCTCATTGCCGAGGAGGACGGGCGAGCCATGGCGGAGTGGCGCCGGCGCTACCCGGAGTACATCGCCGCCGAGAACGCCTTCTGGACGGAGAGGACGGCAAGGCGCGGCGGAGCGTGCGGACAGGCGTCGGCGCAAGGCACTGGCCATATCGCAGTGCGATCTCGTCAACGCCGGTGGGAAGTCGTTCTTCGGGAGAGACGATGAACATTGGGATGACAGTTGACACGATACCTCGGACAACACCATCGAGGATGATGATGATGATGAGGAGGAGGACTGGGAGTAGGTTCTAGTTGTACCATAGTTTATCTAGTTGCACCGTAGTTTTTTTATCTAGTTGCACCCTACTTCGTTATCTATCTATGTGATGTATCGTTTTATCTATGTATTGTCAAATATTTATGTATAAATCTACCTATCCATGTATATTCACCGTAGTCCAGAGTGTTTGTGCGAGAGCGCGCGCTGCATTTTTGCGCGCTACCGGAGGTACACGCGCACGCTGTATTTTACTACAGTTGTTGGAGCCAGCACTGACCGCCGCACCAAACCAGGCGATGGGCGCGCTGAAAACTGGCTTTTAGTGTGCCGCGCATTGGCCGGCTGTTGGAGATGCTCTTAAGCGTCCTCGGTGCACTGCCAATCCATATAGTCTTGTCTAGTCTCTTGCCAACAAAGAAAACAAGAAGAGGTAGCCACTCACCAGCAAGAATGTGCTTCGAATTCAGCTCCTGTTTCGGCAGCCGCATAAAGGACGACTATGGCGGCGAGCGGTCCAGCCATGGCGGCTGTGGCGGCCGTCACCGAAGACGCACAGGGGACCGCAGGAACGGGAATGGCTACAACGGCACCACCGGACACAAGCCGGCGACTAACTACGACCACCAGCCGGCTGTTGATGAGGCGGGGCGCAAGGCCCACCATGACGGCGCGTGGAAAGCGGAGCACCAAGGCGCTGGCGGCCACGGCTATTACATCGCCTACGCGCCTGACAAAGCCCACGAGACGCCGAAGCTTCCTGCGTGGCACAACAAGGTCGGCGACGATGTCGGCTACGCCTACAACACGGCGCGCCTCCATCAGGCTTCTGCTGATGATAAGGAGCACGCCGCCATGGATTACCACCACTACCCAACCACTACTACCACTCTCGCAAGGTACTAGGTCAGGGTGGACACGGTCCGAACCGGTCCGGTCCCGGTCCGAGCTGGCGTTTGGACCGGCCGCCGGCGGTCCGAGCCGGACCGGACCGAGCAGCCGAGCGGTCCTGTTTTCAAGGACCGGACCGGCGGCGACGAAGCCCGGGCTGGACCGAATGAACCGAGCGGACCGGGAACAACCACCAGCGTCGATGTGTGCGAGTGCAGCGGCGAGGTGGGCGATCGTGCGTGAGTGATGTGATGAAGTTGAGGAGCGATACCGAGGAACTGAATCTTCTGAAACCGACGAACTGAATTTTCTGAAAGTTTGACAGCACCTGTGTTTAACTGACGAACCGTGTGCATGTATGAGCACGTCCACGTCTTGACTCAGTTTCAGGTTAGTTAGATTAGGCCGTTGTTGGAGGTCGTGGGATAGCACGATTTCTCATGCAGCGGCAACATAGCTGCGTACGGGTGGACGCGAGACGGCACGGCCGCAATACTCGTTCCTGGCTTTTCTTTTGTGCCTTTCAGTTGTAATGTCTTGACCCGCAGCTCGAGTCATGGCATGATTTCAGCTCATGCAGCCGCAATACCCGCAGGAATTGGTGCCACCGTTGGGTCTGAGGCCATGTTCGAGAACTCCAGAACGGCGGCAGTTCACGCACGACCGCGATGGCGACCGGCGGCAAGAGGATACGGCGCATGGGAAGGAGAGGAAGGAAGGGGAGGGGAACCTCGGGGACATGATGGTTCACCGTGGGGCTGCCGGTGGCTGCGACGACGATGAACGGCCACGGCGGTGACTGTGTTTTCTCGGTCCGACCAAGCGGCTCGGTGAAAGCCCGGACCGGACCGACATTTTCTCGGGCCCAATATTGCAGCCCGGACAGACAAGTTTTGCTACTGGTCCTGGACCGTCCGGTCCAGTCCTGAACGGGCCACGACCAGGCCCAAAAGCCCGCTCGTTCCGTCCAGCCTGAGTACTAGGTACTAAGGTAGCTCTGCTTTTCTACTCTGTTCGGGCTGTGGATTTTGATCAGAGCCTCCACGTATTTGTCGATGGATGTGCGGCACAAGTTCTAGCTCCAGCAGGCTTTTACCACTCTGTTTGTGTAGTTGCTTCTTTTTACTTTAGTTGCGGCTGCTTTCCTCTTGTATCATAGTATAATCAAGTGAAAGAAAACATTTCTGAGATCTGAGATGATTCCCCATTTCTACCCTCGCTATCTGCATGTGTATGGCTTTGCTGCTTTCTTCATTCTGATTGTTCTCATCTCACAGACATTCCGAAGCACTGATACCATATGGAACGGCTTGCAAGAACAGCGAACATCTAATTGTTGCTTGTTGACACCTCCTCTACTGCTTGAATTTTTTTTAAAGGAGGTTAAACCCCGGGCCTCTGCATCAATCGATGCATGCAGCCATTTTTATTAATTATTTCACAAACGTCGGACAAGAACATATATCAATCCATCCGAAACCATCACTCACACCTGCAAACTCGATAATATGGAGTGTTCTCACTCCCCATATCTAAAACCGGTGTCGTTCCCGATCCATCCACATAACATATCGAGACCAACATTCGGTGCAGCCTACTAAAGCGCACACCACATGCACACGTTTTAGGAGACGCCATCATCATCGGACCACTGACCCATCTTCAGGAAAGATCCGCATCATCCTTACCAGTCCGGACATCCATTGACGCCATCACGACGCCTAACGGCACCACCGACCTGCGCTCATCCGTCAAACGCAAAGTCTCTAGAAGATCTGTCGTGTGTAGCACCTGCCAACCAGGCATGACTCAGCGTAGCACCTGCCAGTCAGGCATGACTTGACAGCTCCAGTGAAGCTCCGTGCAAGACGAAGCCGCTCCACTTCCTACCTCTGTCTTCCAGCGTCGCTCCACAAACGATGCCCCCAAGAGAGAAACGGCATCGTAGTACCGCCATCATCCGATCTGGAAGACAAGATTCTACGGCTTCCCCCGAAGCAGCACGAGTGGGCCGACAACAGTTACACGATGATGCCTTCATCAAGGTAAAGGCGCAAAGCGCCGCCAACTGCTTGGTTTTCACCGGAAACTATGTCTGCCCGACTCGTAGCTGGGACTAGATGACGAATCTCGAGATCCGACCACCCAGCCGCCGGCCAACCACCTCTGGCGGAAGAGATGACCACCACCGCTGCTGCACCGGCCAGAACAGATCTAACAAGAGGTGCCACCGATGCAACCACTAGGCCCTCCACACCGCCGCAGCCGATCCAAAGGTAGATGGCGCGCCGCCGCCGCCGATCAAAAGGCAGATGGCGTGCCGCTGCCGCCGCCCGAACAGGGCTGGTCGTTGCGCCCGCAGCCCGCTCGAGGCGGAGTCGCTGGTCCCGGAGCAGAGGGAGAAGTGGAAGGTGTTCCGCTCCTTCCGCTACCGCCTGATCCAGCCGAGGGCACCGCCACCAGCGCAGCAGGCGCCACCACAGGCGGCGGTGATGGGGATTCCTGCCCCTGGATCCAGGTGGCTTCCAATCGAGATCAAGGAGGACGCGGAGCTCGAGGAGATGGAGGAGGAGGTGGCGGTGCCGCCATGGCGGAGGGCCAGGGTGCCTCCGACCCCGACCTCACTCCCTCTTCGTTCCCCGTGCTTCCAGAGGCGCTTGCCTCGCCTCCTGGCTCTCTCCCGCCGCCAGTTGGGCGCTCGCCGGATGGCAATCGCTTCTCGTTGCTGGCCGGTGAGGGCTCCAAGGAGGAGGGGGGGAGGGGGAGGCCCTCTTCTCTAGTCCAGGTATGTTTCAAGCTGCTAAATATCTGGTATCTACTGCTTCAATTGAGGTAGATGATACTTGGGAAATTTAGGTTTGATAATAGAATTAGAGTTCAAAAAGGATCTAAATCTCAGAAGAACGAGGATTGGGATAGGATCTCTTATGTTGTTACTAGCTCAGAACATAGGGGGACTGGGGATAAATTTGAGGATATGAGGTTGAGTAATGATACTCAGTGTATTGGTGTAGATGCTAGGACGGTGCAAAAACATATGGGAAAAAATAATATACATCCCATAACCCCTTTATTTGGGGATGAGGAGTTGGATTTTCGGGAAATTGAAATGCAGAAAACCCCAATTGCAGCCTATTTGGCTTCAAAAGAGGGAAAATTGGGGGGATTTGATCCTGAGGAAAAGTTGATACCCCTGATCTTTTTTGGGGGCCCGGTTGGGAGGGATTTAAATCTGGATGTGGATGTGGGCCTGCCATGGTGGAGGCCTGGTGGTTTGGAGCCCAGCCCAGCCCAAAAAGGGGAGAGGGCACTGGCTGGTATAAAGGAGGGAGTGGAGAGGAGTGGGAAGCAACCCTATCTTTTAGGGTTTCCCCCTCTCCTCCCCTTGCCGCCACAAGAAGAAAAGGAAGAGGAGAAGAAGAAAGGAATAGAGGAGAAGAAGAAAAAATAGAAATAAGAAAGGAATAGAGGAGAAAAAGAAAAAATAGAAAAAATTTCTATTTTTTCTTCTTCTCCTCTATTCCTTTCTTCTTCTCCTCTTCCTTTTCTTCCTCTCCTCTTCTTCTCCTCTTCCTTTTCTTCCTCTCCTCTTATTCTCCTTTTTCCTCTTCTTATTTTCCTTTTTCCTCTCCTAAATATATAAAACTTTAGTAAAAATGAAACTAACTTAAAATGTAATAAATCAGAGAACATATATAGATAATCGTTTTCTAAATATATATATCTAACTTCTGCATATATGAACATATATACACAGAGAACCTACAAACATATATACATTTTTATAAAAAAACAAAATACAAATCTATATATATATATGAAAAAAAATCTGAAAAGAAGCAATATACACAATACATATACTGACATATATACATATATATATAATCTAAAAAAAACTAGCATGTAATATAAGAAAAAAAACAGGGGAGGGGCGCCGGCCGGACCAACGGAGGGGCAGGGTCGCGTGTTCGGCGGCGAGGACGGTAACGGGGCAGGGGGCGCACGTTCGGCGGCAAGGACAGCGACGGGGCAGGGG